TCCATTTATACGACATTATAGAACAGGCAAAACTCATCTGTGGGGAAGGAAAATGCAGAACAATTGTCTCTGGGGTGGTTGGAGACAAGGATTCCTGGGAAGGGGCTTGGAGAACTTTCTGGGGTGATATGTTCTATATTTTGATAGGGAGTGGGGATACACTGATTTATGCAACAGTCAAAACTCATGGTACACTTAAGATGTGTGCATTTCATCATATATAAACTTTACCTTAAAAAAAAAAAAGAGCAGTAAACAAATATTGAACTTTAGTTGATGATATGTACGCTGAAATTATTTAGGGTTGAAGTATACTGATGGCTGCAGTAGCTTCCTATTCCCTTCAAAGACTTCCTATTAGTCCTTCAATAAAGACTTGCAAGTAAGGATGTAAGGATACTTACATCTTCACAAGTGTCCCTTCCAAGACCTGGCCTCTGTCGATTCTCCAGTCTCCCCAAAGGGACCTGGCCTCTGCCGATTCTCCAATCTCCCCAGCTGTCTCCTCTACACCACGCATCCTTCAGTTCTGTGGATCAGCTCTGCTCCCTCCAGGCCTCAGGGCCTTGGCACCAAGTGTTCTCTGGACCTGGAATACCACTTGCTCTCATTACCTAGTTCACTTCTACAGATCTGTCAACTCTTACAGGGCAGGGGAGCCCTTCCTATACTCCCAGCCTAGGTCAGGACATGGTCCTCTTCCCTTTCATTGCTACTTGATACTTTCTTCTTTGCTCCCATCACAGTTCATAGTTACTCATTCATTAAGTATTCACACAATATTTATCTTCCTAATAAGACTGTGATGGGAACCAGGGCTGGGCAGTGCTGCTTTGCTGGCAATTATATTCCCTGTGTCTGGCCTAGGTGTTCAGGAAGCTTGTTGGGTAAATGACTAAAAGGCATATTAGGGGCCAGCCCCGTGGCTTAGCGGTTAAGTGCGCGCGCTCCGCTACTGGCGGCCCGGGGTTCGGATCCCGGGCACGCACCAACGCACTGCTTCTCCGGCCATGCTGAGGCCGCGTCCCACATACAGCAGCTAGAAGGATGTGCAACTATGACATACAACTATCTACTGGGGCTTTGGGGGAAAAAAATAAAAAATAAAAAAAATAAAAGGCACATGAGAATAAGATACCACTTTGCACAAGAAAGACGGGCAGCTTTAACGGATTGGCAACATTCAGTGTTAGGTGAGGGCATGGAGAAACAGGTCGCTTGCCCTCATTCTTGGTGGAGGTGTAAATCGGCATGGTTTGAACTACCTACCAAAATGTTCAATGTTGATACCTGTTGATCCAGCCATTTCATACCTAAGTATTTATTCTACAGGCATAGTGACACAAATAAGTATATAACAATGTTCCCAGAAGTTGCTTGAAATGTTGAAAAACTGGCAACAACTTAAATACCTTTCAAGAGGAAGCTGAAAAACTAAGGGGACACCTATAAAATGAATTTCTGTACCAGGCAGCCATCATAAGGAATAAAATTCATCATAATGTACTGATAGGAATGATGACTAGCAGATAGTGAGAAAAGTTGCACAAAAGTATAAACTATAATCCCGTTTTGTTAAAAAAAAAAAAAAACTCCTATATATATAAATACAATTTAAAAGTATAGTATTTTTAAGAAAAGAAATGGGGGTAGTGAATCAACCAAACTGTTAATCAGTACCTCTGGAGAGCGGAGCAGAGAGGGGGGGCAAGGACTTCCACTTTTATTTTATCGATTTCTCTAAACTATTTAAACAAGCAAGCTTATAATTAAAAATACATACTTTTTAAATATTTTAAACTCTAGATTTCCCGCAGAACAAGACGAAGATAATGTTCACGTTGCCTCTGCTAAACTAAAGCGACAACCAGTGAGTGCACTCAACAATGGCTTCCAGAGGACCTGGCATCCACGGACCACCCAAGTATCGGCACCTCAGTCTTTAAATCCTACCGGTGAGGTCCAGGAGGAAGGAAGGAAGAACAGCAAATGGAAGTGTGTCGTAGGAGTGCTGGGCTAGGCATGCCTCCGGAAGGAAGACGGCAGCAGAACTTATTCTGCTTTTCCGAGCGCATAATCCTTCCCATTCGACGGGATTCGACGGGTACTCTTCACTTCAACGTATAGCCAAGATCTTAAGAACTGGGGTAGAGGTATGGGCCACCGAAAGAAAGAAACCCCGGGCTCCTCGGCGTCCCATCCCGGTTAGAGAATAACGCGCCCCCTCTCATCTCAGATGCTCCTGACGACGGGGAAATGGGTCTGGACGCGGGC